GCCGCCCAACCTCCGAGAAAACGAAAGCTAAACAAAAACAAACTTAAGACGAGTCTTTTTACAATCGATTTCCTAAATATGAAACAGTTCATCTAAACAAACATTATCATATGTTTTCTCTCGCTTTATATCCTTGTTTGCTTTGGAATTAATAACATTATTGTCCTATATTTTACAAGTCTTAAAATCTAGTTTAATATAAATCTATCAGATTTGTATTTTTAAGTGCTATATTATCTGCTCAAAACTGTAAGAAACCTTGGTGCATCAAATTCCACATATCCTTTCTCCAAACATTTCTGACGCCACGTCTGATCATCTTCACAAATCCGTTGCCACGTCCGCGAAACGCCAGCACAAGTCACCAAATCGCGCGGTGTCAAATGGGCCATGATGCGACAAGCAATCTAAAATTAAACAGTTACTCCCACAGGCTTTAACAAACCTCATTTGGCAATTGTGCCAAGAAGTCCTGCTGGAACAATAGTTGGCTCAGTTCCACTTGGATATTGGTCAATCCACTTGGATTAGCCTCAAGTTGAGGCTTGCTGCTCTCCGGCCTGTTCGACATCTCCCCTAAATGAAAAATTATAGCAGAGATAACATCGTAATTAATAAAAGGAAAAGTCGCCGAACAAAATACTATTACTAGCTCCCGTAAACACTGTAAGATTAGCCGGCCGTGTGGGACACACTAGAGGAGGATGGGGTACTATTAAAGAATTTACGGCATATACACCTGCTGAACAAATTGAAAAGAATGAAATTTTTGGCAGAAAGTCGTTAAATAGACGAAAGGAGCATGCTTTAGAACGCGTCATCAAGAGATTTACGGTAGAATGCACACAAAACCATATTTGGTGTTTCCACTTTTCAAAAACTCCATTCGATTGTGCTCTTTAGCGCTTCACCCACAAAATAACCTTTAGTCCATCAGATCACCGGTTTCCTCCTCCGCAACTCTTTTTGATTTTTGAGACTTTCGAAGGCAACAAGTTTGTGAGATACTGCCGTGAGCTCCAGATCAAAGAAATTTCAAGAAAATTTCAAATTTCAGTTCGTTATCAACGCCGAACTCATCCCGCTATTCGTCGACTTTGATGATGTTGTCGAGAAAGGGAACGGCGGCGATAATTGTTTAAAGAAAATCAGCATTTTGGCTTGAAGCAAGGATTACGGCAAGGGAACAATCACAAATCGTTCAGATGACACAAAAACATCCACTCAAATCTATCGATCAATGATTTACGAGTTTCTCGCCGTTGGAGCAAACCAGACCCAGGTGAAATATCGTCAAAAAAGCATTATAGCCAAAAAATCCCACAGATATCTAAATCCTGGATGTCAGCTTAAAAAAAGATCGAGTTACTGTAACTTGATCACTATTTATAACAGACTAGTTAGTTCACTAGCTCTCTCTATGACTTCAAGTCCAATAAAACACTAAAAAACAGTTAACTCGCTTTTTTAAGATCAAATTTCCAAATTCTGGATGTCATGCTACAGAAAGAAGCTATTTTACGGTATCTAGATCACTTTTTAGCTCTCCACCCTTTGTGACCTCGATCAAGTACACGAGCGTGGCCACCTCTCCCTGCATCTTCTCGACGATTTTTTGAGTAAATTGTAAGATCTGGAAGGCACTACGCTGATTGTTTAGTAAAAAATGTACTTTTACTGTAAATTTCTTTACCCTAAACCTCAAGCTTTCCATTTTTGATAGTTTGACTATTTGATTCCTATTTGACACATCCATTTTCTAATTTTATGCGAATTCTTACATTATTTTTAGCGATATTTCAAAGCAATACACTTCATTCTTGAATTCCTTGCTTTTTCTTTAAGTTTACAGGGTATTTTTTAGATAGTATTTGTGTGTAATCGGATAAATTTGAATTATCGATAGTGTTTTTCAAATCAGTTCCTCTCCCGTTGATTCGGGTTCACTGTGGCGAAGATTTGATCCTGTAAATGAAAAATTCTTAAAGAAAAACGACAACAACCTTTCTCACAACCGCATACAAATCTTGATCGTCGAGGCGCCATTTGTACCATAACTAAAAGGTCTAAGGTAGAGATTCAACTCACTTACGGCCGGATTCCTAAAGAAAGCTAGATTTCTTGAGCCTAAGCCAAGCCTAAGCCTGAGCCTGAGCCTAAGCCAACTCACCCTTTGGAAATAGCGATACAATGGCCTCGCTGCACAGCCAATGATCACCAATAAGACAATTCCGCCGACCACCACTCCCCAGATCCATTTCTTGCTTTTTTGCGGCATTGGGGCACTGGGCACGAAATGGTGCTCTAAAGAGAGAGATAGCAGAAAAGCCATTGATTTACGATCGGCCATAATAATAAACCAATAAGCCATTGTCATTGCTTTTGGCAGATTAGAACAAGGCTAGGTTAGGGACAGAAACAGGTATCAATGGACAGATAAGGTCGGTCAGGCCAGACCAGAGTCTCATCTGGCCTTGGCCACTGGGTCTGGGATTCGACCGGAGCAACCAGAGCTGGCATTCGACCCGGCTCTAGACCCGAAACTCTGGTACCCGGTGGTCAATTTCCTATTCCAAAACCTTGAACACACCCGTTTGCGGCTGGCGGCGCAAAAGTGGGCAATGGCGCAAACTGGCGCAAAAGTGGGCAATGGTTGCGGTGTACACAAGCCATAATTCGTGCTCACTGCTTCGTAGTTTTGTAAAGAGTCAATCACCTGAAAACATTCTATTTTCAAAATTTCATGTCAAATTTAATAAAATGAAAGATGAAACGATTTCAAGAAAAACTTGCATATGAGATGTAATTCTCAGTTAGGTTTTTGATCTTGTTCATCGCCTCTTCGACCTTATTGCTGTCAAGCTCGATTCTCTAGATTGATTGAGGTTATTGTGGAACTTGTGGCTTCTGGTCTACTAGGATTTGGTTACCTACAGACTATCCTAGCTGTAACCAGCTCTGGCTCTATTAATAGTCAGCTCAGGAGAGGTTGGTCAAGCAATAGTCATGACCAGTTCTGCCCAAACTTGAGCCGACCTCTGGCCTTGGAAATCTCTCTAATGAATACCGATCGCTCGGCGTTGAAGATCACTTTGATGACAAAATCCTCGTTGACAACTCTTTTCATCAAATTTCTCAACCAAATAATATCGTATTTTTCTTTGAGAGGCGTCAATACTGAAACTAGGAGATTCATAAAGTAAAAAGTTTATTTAAAAGTTTAAATTGAAACTCACGGTTACTACTCGAGAGCTTGAGTACAAGCAGTAGAACAGACTGCACATTTTCCATTGAATGATGGCAAGTTTCTGGGAAATTCAGCGCTGAGTCGATAAAATGCTCAAGAGTCGTTGCGAGGGTTGTGCTAGATCGTTATATTATTGCCAAGCCGGCTCGGCAATAAGCTTAGCCAAGCTTAACTTAATGCCACATTCTTGAGCCAATAGACCAACCGATAGATCAGCCATTATCGAAAGCAAATCAGCTCACTTGGATCTCAAAGCGTTGACGCTACGAATGTTGTTGTATTGTTTGAAAGGCGTCACATTGCAACCCGTTGCACCAAGGGTAAAGAAATTGCTGAAAAAGGATCGGTCAGATTCCCTGAAGCCAGCTTCTGGCTTCAAGGCCTTGTCTATTTTCTTTGTCTGCCAACCTCTGATCTTGTGGATTGGCCTTCTCAGCCGCGATACAAGATCTAAACAGCGGTATCAGTGATTCGAAAGTTTGCGAAATCTCGACATCTTTCAGCGTTGGCAACCCAACAATGCCAATATAAAGCATGAAACGCTGCGTGCAATTCGTGTTCTTGTGATAGATCGATACTACAAGACTGTTAAAGAAAGGCAAATTGCAAGATTTGGCCTTGAATGCTCAGACCGAATGCCCTGGCCTCTCTGGCCTGTGGGATCTGGCCAAGGCTTCTCATGGTCCAGTTTTGATCGAATCTGAACCAGATCTAGCCTCATTTTCTTTGAAATTATGCTTATAGTAAGATATTCTTTTGATTCAACAGTCAACAAAGACAAATTCGATCAAAACCTATTCAAAACTCACGATCCGTACAATCCTCTCGATTCGTCAAATCCTCATCACTGCAAATGATCCAAAGTAAATAGCTTATCAAAAATAGAATTTCCATCGATTTTCTCATTTTTGAAAACAATCCAACATCGCTTTGTGCTTTAGAATTCTTGAAAAGAGACGAAAGTCTGATAACTCTCAAAGACAAATCCCCGTCAATACAACTTTAATCTCTTTCTAAGCACTTGTTGAAGGTTTTGCTCTTTGAGAAAAATGATCGGAATCGGAAAAAGAATTATTGCAATGGTCGATAGCTTTTTAACCTCACTAACGCCGAAAATCGAAAACAAAATTCGAAAAGATAAAAGTCTGGAACTGGGCTTTCCATTCTGACTGAGCTAATAAGGGGATTCAGATGTAGACTTGGCTATTGATCTTCTTTTTATAATAATCACTATTGATAGTGATTATTAATCACTATTGATAGTGATCCAAAAGTTCACCTTAAGTGGGTGCACTTCCCTTGCAAGTTCAACCTGCTTCTTTTTATTTGTGTGCAAGTTTAAGCGATTTATCTTACATGTGTAAGTTGTGTAACGAAAACGACTTACACAACTGAAAGCAATAGAAACACCTCTGGAAACAATCACACAAGGAAATTCTTGACAAAAAAGAAAACGACCGCTGTTCCGAGAACAAGCGTTGGAAAATCGAGCAAATAAAGAATTACAGGAGTTGATATGGATCAAAACAATATCGAATGTTTCCAGCCACCAACGAAGCATGCGAAGCTCAAAAAATAGAAAATGGAAAAAAAAGGTTCACAAAATGAAGACTTTGCCATAAAAGTGTGCAAAATGTGGGAAATATTTGAAAGGTAATCACAAGCAATGAAAGTTCAGAAGAATTGAAAAACCAAAAGAATTCCTCAGAAAATCGCAAGGCTTAGGGAAAGTGCAAAAATACGAATATACCTATGGATACGATGCGTCAAAATCGATCAACATCAGATTTGTGCTCCTTGCCAATCTCGCTTCAAATGCACCTACGAGCAATGTTTCAGTCGCTTTGAGAAGCCAATTGTAACCGCCATATCCACACGATGCAAGACGAACGAGATCACGAACGAAGATACCTAAAAATGCAAAAAAATTAACAACTAGATATTGAACCTCAACATAGATTTAAGCTTGAATAGTTAACGAGCCAAGTTCTGTAGTTAATAAATTCTACTTTAGGGGAAAATCTGAAGTCTGGATCCCATAGCCTATAGTATGGACTTTCTGCCCTATAGTATTCGGTAATGTAAAACAGCACACCTTTATCCACATCCCACAGCATGACCGAGCCATCCATCGAACCTGTCACCAAAAGTCCGGAGTCAAGCAATTGCAATGAAGTGATGTTCGACGTGCGACCATTTGCCTCTCGTAAACGATGAGTGCACGAGCCACCGTCACGAATGTCCCAAACCTAAAGAAAAGGAAGTAGTTTTCATAGAATTGATTAAACATACCTTAACTTCCGAGTCGTAATAGGAGACCAAAATGTTTCCGCGAAACTGTACCTCAAAGTCACCACTCGGCTGTGACCCTTGATGAAAGACAAGATGTGCGATGCATGCTGAACAAATATAGATGATATTTTAACCGAATAGCAAACAAGTAAAACCCACTTCCTCTTCGCACATCCCAGACGCGAATCGTTCCGTCACGACTACCCGACACAACAAGATCACGCTCTGACTCAAACTAAAGCAGAATCCTGATTAAAGCCAAAATTCGACAATTCAACTTACCAAAAGTGAAAGGATTATATCCGTGTGACCCGTCAACATGTGCAAACACTCCTCCGTGTGTGCATTCCAAACCTAATAGAATATTATAAAATTTCACCAATAACTTAACAAACCTTTACGGTAAAATCATCACCATCAGCACTAGAAACAACCCGTTTTCCATCAAATAGCACAAAACGCACCTGAAATATAACTTTGCTAAAGCCATCACTTTAATACACATACCTCCGCCAAGTGGCCAGTCAAAATGTGAAGGCATTTCCCGTCGACAATGTCCCAAACCCGGAGTGTTTGATCGTGCGATCCAGAAACAAGACTAAAACATTACGATTTTAGCTAAAGCACAAAATTCAGTTCACTCACGTTGTGCCATGTAGACTTATGCACTTAACAGTACCCGTATGCCCCTGCAGAACATAACGCTGTACACCGGTTTGACCACACCAAACGCGCACGGTTTGATCAGAGGAGCCACTTAAATATTGGAATAGACTTTGTTGTCACAAGTATTTCTGTTTCGAATTTTGTTAACTTCATTGGCAACCCTTACGAATTACACTAGCTATAGTCTCTAAACTAACCTGACAATGTATTCGCCATCATCGCTCACTTGAAATGTCAAAATATGACCCATATGGCCAGTTAGAGTGAAAGCCGGCTAAATTAAGACGTACAATATTAGTTAAACGAAACAAACTTGAGCATCATCAACATCCCAGACCTGCAACGTATTATTATCAGAACCAGTAACAATACGACCAGAGTGAACTTGTAGCCGAAAGATCCCTTCATAGGCCTGAAAAAAAACTTTTAGTGAAAACATTTGTTTAAACCTTTTGGACCGTGCTTGATTGAATCGCTCGGGATCGCCAATTTGAAATGATTCGCTTCTTCCGCAAGTACAGTGACTTCCATGACGATCGCTCATTACATCTAGAAAAAACTTAACTCAGCAACAAGTTGCGTCACTAACTGTCCATATGCGATCTCGCGTTCTCGTCGATTTTGACGTGCTTCCTGAAAGGTCATATGTGAGGAGATTGTGATTCCCGCGTGCTCATTTGCTCGATTCGCCGCCCAACCTCCGAGAAAACGAAAGCTAAACAAAAACAAATTTGAGACGAGTCATTTTCTAATCGATTTCTTAAACGAGAATCAGTTCATCTAATCAAACACTATCATACGTTTTCTCTCGCTTTACATCTTTGTTTGCTTTGGAATTAATAACATTATTGTCCTATATTTTACAAGTCTTAAAATCTAGTTTAATATAAATCTATCAGATTTGTATTTTTAAGTGTTATATCATCGACTCGAAATTGTAACAAACCTTGGTGCATCAAATTCCAAATATCCGTTCTCCAAACATTTCCGTCGCCACGTCTGATCATCTTCGCAAAGCCGCCGCCACGTCCGCGAAACGCCAGCACAAGTGATCAAATCGCACGGCGTCAAATAGGCGATGATACGATAAGCAATCTAAAAATAAACAATTACTCCCACAAGCTTTATCAAACCTCCTCTGGCAACCGTGACAAGAAATCCTTTTGGAACAATGGTTCGCTGAGATGCCTGAATTTGAAAATTTCACTGTTTAAGATCATTCTCTTTACCTCATCAACCGAACTTGTGGATCGGAGAGTGCTCCGACGAGGCTTTGAATGGCAAAGCTCTGTTGAGTCAGAGACTCAACAGCTTCTGTCAACGCTTTTATCTTTTCTGCCGTATTTGCATCATCAGCCACTAAGAGCGCGTTCCGGTCGATGAGTAGTTTCTTGGCTTGTTCTCGGCTCTGGTCGGTCCCTTCCTCGAGCAGCTCCAACAGCTTTTGGTTCAGTTCCACTTGGATGTTGACCGGCTTTGTGAGCACGGGTGATGGCTTTGAATCGGGCTTCAGCTTTGCCGACAGTTTCTCCAGTAGATCCGCTTGCAAAGTCTCGAGTTGAGTCTTGCTGCTCTCCGGCTTGTCCGACATCGACCCTAAATGGAAAATTATAGCAGAGATAACACCGTAAATAATAAAACAAAAAAAACCCGAAGACAAGACTACTACTAGCTACTGTAAATACTGTAAATACTGTGAACGGGGGCAAAGAATTGTTCATTCGTGATTTTAGACGTAAAGTTTGTTTTGCGTTCTAGCACAAAGAGCCAAGTTTTCAGCGCTAAATTGATTTAATTTGACTATAATTGTAAATAATGATATGATAAATTTATAAGGGAGGACCTCCACTTTCAGGCTCTAATCTCGAAATGGTTTTCAACACTGATTCATACTTGGGCACGCTTTTAATATATTAGCAACAGAGGACTAAATCAAAAGATCGCCGCCAAAAGAGCGCCATTGAAAAGAGCGCCAATGCAAAAAACGCTTAAAAGAGCGCGAATAGATTTTTGCGACTAGAATGTTTCGGATCTAGCTAGTGCCGAGTTTTTTTTCTTTTTTTTTCTAAAAGATCTGTACATGGCATAAAATGTTGCTAAACTAATTTACCGTAAATACTGTGATAGTACCACACTCCCATAATGACGGTGGGAAGTGTTGCGTAGTCTAGCTTTGAACGCGTTTTTCTCGACACTAGGTTATGCTACAATGCGCGCTTAGTTATCAAAAAATAGCTGAAATTCAGGGCTATTTTTTCATACCAAAGACACATTTTTTTAAAGTACGGGCGCTTTGAAAAAAATGAAATACTAAAAAACTTTTGCGACCACGCGACTGTACGAGGGGTGTGGGGTACTATTACAGTATTTACGGTAAGTATTCTTATTACTAAGTAGTATTGATGATCCAAATCCGAATTGATGATAGCCCAATTGCTATCACCAAATCCAAATCGTTTTCAGACTTCGCGGTGAGCAATGTCTGTGCAGGGGTGATCTTTGCAATTCCACACCGTCAACCCAACAACAAGCGGTTTTACAAGCGCTCAATTGCTTTTGAGATTTGGTTTTTTGAAATTTCGCCATCCTGGATAGCACGACGCTAGTTCGTCTTTTTTGTCTAAAGTCAAAAGTGAGGCCAATTTGGGTCCAAAGTGCTGGCCTAGAATTGATTCAGCGAGAAAAGATTACCGCTCCAAGATAACATTCTCCACTATTCCGATTTCTCGTTGTTTTTTATTTGTTTTTCCAAAGATTTAAGTAAAATTTTGCGATTCTTAGCCAATCTGGAGGTCATCGAAGAAATTTATGAGAGATTTTTTTGATTTTGACAATTTAAAAAATTCGAGTAATGTTCATTTCATAGCTTCAACTTTTTACTGAACTTTGTTGAAAGAATTGTTGAAAATTTTGCGGGGAATTTAGCGAAAGAGTTTCTGATAATTTGATAATTGATAATTTTAGGCAAGCTCGAAATGCATTTTCAACTTTTTGAACTGACTCTCAAGTCTGGTTGTGTTAGAAGTGCCGAATTCTATGGTGGAACCTTCATGTTTGTTCCTAGGAGTAAACGGATATGGACTAGAATTTGGGTTAAGTTAAAGAGAGTGGACCCCTTTTGATATCCTGCCATTACCTCTAACACCCCGACAACCCGACTCAACTCCACCAACGTATTAGAGGGAGTCCCCGTGAAATGACCGATCTGAAGGGCAGTTGCATAGACACAGAAGATATTTATCTTTATTTACAGTAGTACGATAGGACGAATAGATTACAATTGAGTGGAAGGGGAAGGGGGGCTCCAAGTGAGAGCCGCACTTGTCCTCCTAGGCAATCCCAAGCACCGCCTGCTTCTCGGTGATGAAAGGGATAAGCACAGGGGAGATCGCATTTGCATAAGAATAGACAAGTCATTCAACAATAACAATAGTAATTTAAATGCCAGTTTGGCTCGGAGCTGACAATTATATCCAGTAGTGTATCTCTCACTAACTTAAATCTAACTAAACTGCATAAGCAAGTCAACTGATAAACCCCTTCAATGACTCACCCTAAATAGGGTTTGAGGGCTAAAAATTTTCACTCCAAGAAAAAACAATGGCTTTAGGCCTGTTATGTTCAAATGTACCGTGTACTTTTCAACGTTCCAAGTAACAAAACCCTGCCCACCATTTTGTTACACGAAACTCGAAAGAAGTTTACTGTTTCTTTTTATTTGTGAGCCAGTTTGAGCCATTTATCTTACATGTGTAAGTTGTGTAACGAAAACGACTTACACAACTGAAAGCAACACAAACACCCCTGGAAACAATCACACAATCGAACTGTTGACAGAAAAAGGAAAAGATTGTTGTTATCACAACAATTTCTAGCAAATAATAGCAGCTCAATGGCAAAATAAAGGTAGACAAAATGTGAATTTGGTATACAAGAAAGTGTGTAAAATGTGGGAAATAGGAAATCACAAACGCCAATCGAGCAAGCCATGAAAAACATAGAAGAATTGAGAAAAATCAGACCAAAGAACAATCCGAATATACCTAGGGATACGATGCGTCAAAATCAATCAAGATCAAATTTCTGTTCTCGGTTCCGTTTTGCGATAGAACTGCACATAGGAGAGATGTTTCGGTCGCGAAGAGTCTCCAAATCCAACTGCCAGCCTCAAGACGAACGAGGTCACGAACAAAAATAACTGAAAATCACAAAATTCTCGTATAGTTGATAAAAAACTAACAACAGAATACTGACCCTGAACATAGCTTTAACCTTGAATAGTTCACGAGTCAAATCATGTAGCTAATAAATTCTACTTTAGAAGAAAACTTGAACTCTGGACAAATTTGCCGATCTTACAGCCTACATTACTACGTAATTTAGAACCACATACCTTTATCCACATCCCACAGCTTGACGAAGCCATCGTTAGAGCTTGTCACCAAAAGTCCCGAGTCGAGCCATTGCAATGAAGTGATTTCAAACGTGCGACCACTTACGTCTTGCAGGAGATGAATGCGCGAACCACCATCACGAATGTCCCAAACCTAAAGAAAAAGAAGTAGTTGTCTAACGAGTGATAAACGTACCCCAACGTCAGAGTCGGTATAGCAGGAGACCAAAATATTTCCGCGAAGCTGGACGTCAGAGCAGGAATTTTGATGTGTGACAAGAATCGCGATGCATGCTGAAAGAAACAAATATAGAGGAGATTGAAACAAAATAGCGAAGTAAAACACACTTCCTCTTCGCACATCCCAGACGCGCATCGTTCCATCCCGACCTCCCGAGACGACAAGATCGCGCTCCGGTTCAAACTAAAACAGAATCCTGATTAAAGCCAAAAATTGACAATTCAACTCACTAAAAGTGATTCGATTGAATCGTTGTGACCCGTCAGCGTGTGCAAACACTCCCCAGTCTGCACATTCCAAACCTTCCAAACGTCTTATAAAATTGAACAAAAAAGCATTACAAACCTTTACATTAAAATCATTGCCACTAGATACAACTCGTTCTCCATCAAATTTCACACACAAAACCTGAAATTTAACTCTGCTTAGGCTCGAAATTTGACACACAAACATCCCCCAAGTGGCCAGCCAAAATGTGAAGGCATTTCCCGTCGACAATGTCCCATAGACGGAGTGTTTGATCGCCCGATCCAGAAACAAGACCAAAACATTACGATTTTAGCTAAAGCACAAAATTCAGTTCACTCACGTTGTGCCATGTAGACTCATGCATGCAATAAAATCCGTATGTCCCCGCAGAACATGAAGCTGTGCACCGGTTTGACCACACCAAACGCGCACCGTTTGATCAGTCGAGCCACTTAAATATTGCAATAGACTTTGTTGTCACAAGTATTTTTATTTAGAAAATTGTTAGCTTCTTTGACAACACTTATCAATTGCACTAGCTAGAGCCTATTAACTAACCTGACAATGTATTTGCCATCATCGCTCACTTGAGACGTCCTAACACCATCCATGTGGCCAGTTAGAGTGAAAGCCGGCTAAATTAGGATGTATAATAATGGAAAAGGGAAACAAACTTGAGCATCATCAACATTCCAGATCCGCAACGTATTATCACGATCATTACCAGCAACGATATGACCAGACTGAACCTGTAGATGATGGATCCGATTAAAACCGTGAGGCTAAAACAATTTTTATAGGCAAAACATTTGTCCAAACCCTTAGAACAGTGCTTGATTGAATCGCTCGGGAGCGCCAATTGGAAATGATTCGCTTCTTCCGCAGGTACAACGACTTCCATGACGATCGCTCATAACATCTAGAAAAAAACTTAATTCAGCAATAAGTTGCGTCACTAACTGTCCATATGCGTCCTCGCGTTCTCGTCGATTCTGATGTGCTTCTTGAAGGTCCATATGTGAACAGATGGTGATTCCCGCTTGCTCATTTGCTCGATTCGTCGCCCAGCCTCCGAGAAAGCGAAAGCTAAACAAAAACAAGTTTAAGACGAGTCTTTTTCTAATCGACTTCTTAAATGTGAACCAGTTCTTTGAAACAAACATTATGATGTTGTTTTCTTTCGCCTTACATCTTTTTAACTAATAACATTAGTGTCCCATATTTTACAAGACTAAAGATCTAGTTTAATATAAATCTATCAGATTTGTATTTTAAAGGGTTATATTATCTGCTCAAAACTGTAACAAACCTTGGTGCATATTCCACATATCCTTTCTCCAAACATTTCCGTCGCCACGTCTGATCATCTTCACAAAGCCGCCGCCACGTCCGCGAAACGCCAGCACAAACCGTCAAATCGCACGGTGCCAAATAGGCGATGATACGATAAGCAACCCAAAAATAAACAATTAGTTCCACAAGCTTTAACCAAAGACAAACCTCCTCTGGCAACTGTGACAAGAAATCCTTTTGGAACAATGGTTCGATGATATCCCTGAATTTGAAAATTTCACTGTTTAAGGTTACTTATCTTTACTCTTCGAGTTGAGTATTTGCATCACCAGCCACTAAGAGCGCGTTCCGGTCGATGAGAAGTTTCTTGGCTTGTTCTCGGCTCTGGTCGGTCCCTTCCTCGAGCAGCTCCAACAGCTTTTGGTTCAGTTCCACTTGGATGTTGGCCCGCTTTGTGAGCACGGGTGATGGCTTTGCCGACAGTTTCTCCAGTCGATCCGCTTCCAAAGTCTCGAGTTGAGTCTTGCTGCTCTCCGGCTTGTCCGACATCGACCCTAAATGGAAAATTATAGCAGAGATAACACGGTAAATAATAAAAGAAAAAAAAAACCCGAAGACAAGACTACTACTAGTTACCGTAAATACTGTGAATGGGGGCGAAGAATTGTTCATTCGTCATTTTTAGACGTAAAGCTTGTTTTGCGTTCTAAAGGCTTAGGCTTAGGTCCGACATCGACCCTAAATGAAAAATGACAGCAGAGATAAGACCGTAAATAAGAAAAGGAAAAACGCCTGAGCAAAATACTACTACTAGCTACCGTAAATATTGTAATGGTACCGCACCGATGGTTAGATTTGCTTATCTGTATTATCGATACAAGCGGTAAGCTCATGTTTGACCGTTTAGACCTCAGTTTCTAGAACAGCTATTGATCTGCAAAATTATTTCATTGGAAAGTCAAGAATGTCAGCGTTTGATTGCTATTTCACACATAGCAAATTCACATAGGTGAGTGCCTTAAAAAGCTTATCGTTTCTTATCTTATCAAGTATCGTTAAGGTTTATGAGGTGCCTACTCATTAAAAGTCGCCATGTATAAAATAGCAATCAAAACCTGACATTCTTGACTTCCTAATGAAACAATTCTCAGATTAAGAGCTGTTCTAGAAACAGGGATCGAAAGGTTCAAACATTAGCATGTCGTTTGTATTGATAATATCGATAGGCAAGTCTACCCGTAGGGCACTAGAGGGATGGGGTACTATTAGAGTATTTACGGCAGATATGTCTACTAGACATGGGAAAATTCCAACCGAAACCTAATTCCACCTTCGTTTTCTCAGCCGTCTCTTGGTCGATTGTTCTGAAATTTTGTTTACAAATAGAAATTAGCATTCTCTGTTTGTAAACAAAATCTCAGAACAATCGACCAAGAGACGGCTGAGAAAACGAAGGTGGAATTAGGTTTCGGTTGGAATTTTCCCATGTCTAATGTCTACTAAATGAATTGACCGGAATGAATTTTATCGCGAAAAGTCTCCTTAAATACACGAAAGGGGCGCGTTTTAGATCAAAAGGCCCGCCATCAAAAGGCCTACGGTAGAACGTACACAAAACCATATTTTGTGGTTCCAATTTTCAGAAAGCTCCATTCCATTCACCCACAAAATAACCTTTAGTGCACCATCTCGTAGGTAAGGTTAGGTTTATCAGCAGAATTGAAAAGACGCTGGGGTGTTGAAGCTGCGGGTGGCGAAGATTTACGGGTATTTAACCTGAACGGGGCGAAGAATTTTTCATTCGTCATATTTAGCCGCAAAGGTTTTTTTGCGTCCCAGCGCTAAAGTTATTTGAATTGACTATAATTGTAAATGGACAAGAACAAAAGCACCTTAAAATAGCTTAAAATCCCTTGCTGCTATAGAAGCACTTCTGCGATGGAGACTGCCGATCGGACGATGACCGATGACGGGGAAATGAGCGAGGAAAACGTCGTGGGTGCTGAGGATCAACACCGGGCATACGATTGGATACATTCGTTTAAGGTAAAAGCAGATTTTATTGGGGAAATGCTTAAGTTAGACAACGTCACTTCTTTAAAAGATAAATTGAGGCTCAGTTTAGACCTTCGGTACTTTAGCTCTTTCTTGCCTCACATAAAATTCAAAATAGAAGATTTGGGCTCGCGCGTTGACACGTTAGCTCACCGAGATTACATGATTTCAATTGAATTCATGAAGTTCAAGAGTGGTTACCATCATGTGACGATTCACAGGGACTCATAGCCCTATATTGGGTTTTACTGGAGTGGCATACGCTTCATATGACTTCCAGAATCGCTTATGGATCTTTCAAAAAGTTCTCTCACCTCATTGAAAACCTCGGGGATCGAGGCGATGCGTTGCTTGAGCTCTTCTCGAGTTTCATGGATGCAACCACAGACGGCATTGCGTGTGGCTGAGATCTGGGTGGCACACGACCCAACGGCGAGCCGGGAATCGCAATTGGCAATAACTGGAAGTGAGGGTTACGGTAGCTGAGCCGCAAAATAGCGTCGTATAATGAACTAGACGTTTTTTAGCCAAAAACAATTCATTTTTTAAGGCTACGGTGGCTAGGGTGTAAAATATCCTTTTAAGGCCCAATTAAAGTTAGTTTTGTTAGTTTTGTGAGTTTTAATGCTAGTCTACTCTTCCAGACACCAACTTTGACAATGGTTCTCCAAGTCGCCGGCAAATGGGCTTTGCAGCGTCTGAAATTATCTGAAATACTATATTCTTTGGGTATAAAAGTAGCATTTTTAAGCAAAAATTCTCATGGTCATTATTGTTAGCAATTTTCGTAAACTGATTGCCCACTGGGGCAAATATGCAGTGTACTTTTTAACGTTTGATTGCTCACCCGTTTCAAGTAACAGATTTTTGTCTACCATTTTGTTACACGAAATTCTAAAGAAGTTTACCGTGTTTCTTTTTATTTGTGAGCCAGTTTAAGCCATTCATCTTGCAATATAGTTAACGAAAAAACGAATTATACAATTTAAAGTAACACAAATACCTCTGAAAACAATCACATAAGAGAACTCTCGACAAAGAAAAAAAACGACCGTTGTTATGAGAACAATTGTTAGCAAATAAAAGCAGGTTAATAGAAAAGGTGGGGGGAAAATTTCGAATACAAGAAAGTGTACAAAATGTGGAAAACATGCAAAAGGAAATTACAAGCGCTCACCGAGAGAGCAATGAAATCTCAGCAGAAAAAAATCGAAAAAAATCAAAAATTCTTCAGAAAATCATAATAAGACCTAGAGAAAGAGCAAAAATTACGAAATAATCGAAAATAAGTAAAGTTCACTCCGATCGTTGCGCGTCTGAAGAACGCCCCAAGGTTGTTTAGTTGCAGTGTAGGTGTATTTATCGAAAGCTGTGGGATAAGCTTTTTTTCTGAATCATCGACCCACATCACATACTTACTGGTCGGCTCATCATTGCTTTCGATCTTCTCCACGGCAGTGATCACAATGTAAGGCCTCTTTCGATATCTAAAAAAGAAATTGAAGTTGAAATCAAAAATGAGTCAAGTAAAAACGGAGAAAGGTTTTAGCTACTTTGGTTTAAGCTAAAGGATTCAAGAATCTATATCTCACTGGTTTAAATCTAACTAAACTGCAGAAGCACTGAAGCAAATGAAGTCAACTGCCAAACCCCTTCAATGAACACGATTCGGCGGATGAAAGGATGAAAATTTTCACTCCGACAAAAGCTCTGGCCTTAGGCCTACGGTGCTCAAATGTACAGTGTGCTTCTTAACTTTTGATTTTTCGAGTAACAGAATCTTGCTTGCCATTTTGTCTCTAACACTCTAACAAGGCAAGTGCACCCAATTAAGGTTAACTTTTGGATCGCGATCTAAAGCATTCTTTTTATTTTGAGCTTTCAACAATTATATTTGTTTTATTTCTATATTTCAGAAGGTATCACACTAAATTTTTAAGTTGTTTTAAGTTGAAAGACTAAAATTAAAGTTTATATACAAAATTATAAAATAAACACTCTTTCTGGGGTAGGCTAATTTCCGCCATTTTATTTGCGCAACAGGGTCATTTGCAACTAGGTTGTTTGCCCAACAGGGTCATTTGCGCAACTAGGTTGTTTGCGCAACTCGCCATAACTTTTGGTTTCATTTTGTTGCACTTATTGAGATCTACAAAATGAAATCAAAAACATAAAGATTGTGTCACATAGAAAAAAAAGTTATGGCGAGTTGCGCAAAAAGCCTAGTTGCGCAAATGACCCTGTTGCGCAAATAAAATGGCGGAAATTAGCCTACCCCCTCTTTCTTTCTCCTTTCCCGAAAGGAATGGCCAGCAAAAATTGTACAGAAAATAGGTTTTGTGAAAGTGCTTATTCGCGAACCAAACCATTCTTTGTATTTTGATCTTTCAACACTTAAATTTGTTTCAGTTTTCGATTTCAGGAAGCATCACAATGAATTTTTTTGTATTGAGGTTTATGAACAAAATTGTTACCTTCCACAAAAAGGACAGAATAAACGATCTTTCACAACACCCATTTTCAGCACAATCTTTGCGCTTTGCGCACAATCAATTTCTTTTAGGAAAGCAGAAAGAAGAAGCGTCTATTCTAGATTTGTGGTTTATAGACAAGATTTGTAAGATCAAAATAAAAAGAATTGGTTGGATCTCGATCCAAAAGTTCACCT